CTTGAGTGTTCATCCTGGTGAAAGATTTGGAATGAGTGTTGATTGTCCTTCATCCAGATGTATCAGAAAGGCCCCCAAAACAATGGATTCCAGGCTATTAACCTAGTCTTGCATTGTGTTTGTATGTTCATTCTTACCACTTTAATCTGGCAGGATTTGAGTATTTGGGGGCTTATGTAGATAACACTATACAATCCACTAAAATACGTCTCCAATTCTTATATGCTTTGGCCAGCTGCTTAAAAAAAAATCACCTCAGAGTGGATAGAGCGTAGCCACATTGAACTACATGATGTCTCACAATAGTTCGAATCTGTGAATGGAGCAGAAACATCTGGACATCTCTATGCTTTTACAAAAAGTGACCGTGGCATTCTGTGAGCAAACCAACATATCATTATTCACTATAGCGTAACCATGTAACCGACACACAAGCACATCTTTGCTAGTATGAATAAAGAGTATGTGAGACGGGGATCAGTGGCTCACCCTGAAATCCCAGCACATTGGGAGGCCAAGGGAAGGGGATTCTCTGAGTTTGCAGGTTTGAGACCAGCCCAGGGAACTTGGTGAGACCTCACCTCCAAAATATGTAAGAAATTAGCTGGTTGTGGTAGCGTGCACCTGTAGCACTGGCTAATTGGAAGGCTGAGGCAGAAGTATCACGGGAGCCCAAACAATCAATTCTGGGATGGCTGTGAATGTGTCACTGCAGTCAGGACTGGAGGACCGAGTGTGACTGCAACTCAAAAAAAATGTGGTGCATACTCATGATGGAATACTAGACCCTCATTGAAGAAGAAGATCAAAATGTTGTCATTTTCAACAATATTTATGCAGCTGGAGACCCTCATTTTAAATGAATTGTTACACAACAAAAAATTAAATATTGCATGTTGTCACTCACAAGTGTGACCTAAACACTGGGCACAAGAATGGGGACAACAGACACTGGGAACTGATTTAAGCAGAGAGGGTGAAAGGGAGAAAAGGGACATAAACTACCTACTGGATATCATGATCTCTTCTGTGGTTAGGGGGCTCTTCAGAAGAACAAATATTGCCTTCATGCAAGAAAGCTTTGTAAGTACTCTACTCATGTACCCCATGATTCTAAAGTTAAAAAATACCGAGAAAAGAGAACTCAACTTGTAGGATTCACAAAGAGGTCAGAAATGAGACCTTAAAACCCAGTCTCATTAATTTTCCAAGATAGAAACACTGCAAGTTATTCCCTCAGATCACTGTGACACATAGCTGTAAGCAACCATCTTAAGAGAGCCAACTATAGCAAAATGTTAGCAAATTAATCAATAGGCGCCTCTTTGGGTGGCATTCGTAGGACACATCCTTGTAGTTTTGCATGAGCCTCTTATTTTCGACCTAAGAGAGTGAAGTGGAAACTTCAAGGGTTCCTTCACAGAATATCCTGTCCACAAAGCATTGTGATATAAAATTATAAGCTAACAAGTGTGAGATAGCCTTAAAATGTAAAAATAATTTCAAAAATGTACTTCAGGGAATTATTTGGTGTCATTCATACTGTACAGTCTGGTCACATATGTGTCCCTACAAAAGGATTTTCTGCCTTGAGACTCCCAATTTTCCTTCTGAATAGAAACCTAGAGCAGCTTCAGCACACGAGAGCCAGCTGCTTCTTTTTCTCAGCTTGTAAGAAATTTCAGAGTACATACCTGGTTCCTCTGCCCAGAATCGCATCTGTAATTATGTAAAATAACACAGTGTAAAGATTACATTATGCTGTGCAATGCACAGATATCTAATATTTTTTATTGATAACTTAAAAGACCCCTTGCTGAGTCAAAATTAAAAGACCCTAAAATTAAGAAGAGATTAAAGTTGTGAAAAAGATAAACATTTTCTACACAATTTCCCTTTACCAGAGATTTAGATGAAAACTTTACAATTCCTAATTCATGGATAAAATAGATGCTAAAGCAAATGCCTGCAAATTAAAAATTATAGTGAATGCTATCATTTAAAGCTGGCTAACTGTGTCAACTATGTGTCAGTAAGAAAGGGCCGCTCAGTACCACGGCAGTAAGATATTTATATATTTCAAACATAATTTACTTTGTTGAATACTTATATCCAACTTTGATTGATAAGGAACGAATTTAGACATTACATATCTCCTCATGAAAATGAAAGGTGGTCTTACCTGGGCAGAAAGTCCTTCTGATTTGCAGGTGTTTCCCTCCACACCCTTCATGCAGGCTAGGAGAATACAGAAAATATCAGTACCCAGATAATTGGTGATTTTGAATCAAGTAGGGTGCTTTGACTGAGATAGTAGCCAGTCAGTAATTTGATGTCTCATCTAAGTAGCCAGTCAGTAATTTCATGGCTCATCATGGTGAAAGGTATGGAATGAGTGTTGATGGTCCTTTATCCAGATGTACCAGAAAGGTGCCAAAAATAACGGAAATCAGGTTATTAACCGAGTCCTGCATTGAGTTTGTATTTTCATTCTTACCATTTTAATCTGGCAGGATTTGAGCATTTAGGGTCTTATGGAGGTAATATTATAAAATACACCAAAATACGCCACCTATTCTTGCATTCTATGGCCAGCTGCTTTGAAAATTCACCTCAGAGTGGATAGAGGTTAGCCACATTGAACTACGTGATATCTCGCAATACTTAGGTTTTGTGAATGGACCAGAAACATCTGGGCATATACGTGCTTTTCATCAAGTGACCATGCCTTTCGGTGAGAAAATGAACCTATCACACTTCATATAACAAAATCATGGAACCGAACCCCCAGCATATCTTTGGTAGACTGAATAAGAACATGTGGGACAGGGCTCAGTGTGTCATCCTGTAATCCCAGCACTTTGGAAGGCCAAGGGAGTTGGATTGCCTGCGCTTGCAGGTTTGAGATCAGCCCAGGCACGTGGTGAGAGCTCAACTCCAAAATAAATTAGAAATTAGCTGGGTGTGGTAGCGTGTGCCTGCAGCACTGGCTACTTGGAAGGCTGAGGCAGATGTGTCACCGGAGCCCAGGCGGTTGATGCTGAGATGGCTCTGAGTGTGCCAGTGCACTCCAGCTTGGGGACTGAACGGGACCACAACTCAATTTTAAAAAGCGGTATATATTCTTGATGAAATACTAGACCCTCAATGTAAAAGAAGATCAAAATTTTGTCATATTCAACAATATCTATGCAGCTGGAGACCTCATTTTAAATGAATTGTTACAGAAACAAACAAAACAAAATACTACATGTTCTCACTCACAAGTGTGTCCTAAACACTGAGCACAAGAATGGAGATAAAAGAGACTGAGAACTGATTTAAGCAGAGAGGGAGAAAGAGACATATGTACACAAAACTACCCCCTGGATACCATGATCATTTCTGAGATTGGGTGGGCTGTTCAGAGGGAAAAATCTTGCCTTCCTGCCAGAAAACTGTGTAAGTAATCCTCACATGTACGCCATTATTCTAAAGTTATAACATACCCAGAAAAGAAAACTTAACACGGAGGATTCACAGAGACATCATATTCGAGAACTTAAAGCCCAGTCTCATTAAAATTTAAAGAAGGAAAATGCTGCAAGTTATGCCCTTAGATCACTGTGGCACAAAGCTTAAGCAACAATCATAAGAGAGGCATAAATACCAAAATATTTGTAAATTAAGCAATAGGTACCTCTTTGGGTGGCTTTCTTAGGGTACACCTTTTTGTTTAGCGTGAGCCTCTTGATGCTAAACCACTTAGAGTGAAGTGGGTCTGTTAAGGGTTCCTGGATGGGACATCCTCTCCAAACCTCTCTGTGGTATAAATCTATAAGCCAAGAATAATAAGAGAGCCACACAATTGCAAAAGATTTTAAATTAAGTACTTCAGTGACTTATTGGAAGACATTCATATGGTACTCTCCGGTCACAGATGTGTCCTTACAAAATGACTTTCTCTCAGGGGAACCACAATGTTCCTTCCTAATAGAAACCTAAATCATCTGACATACACTAAAGCCAGTGCTTCTTTGTCTCAGCCAGTAAGAGATTTCAGTTTGGGCTCGATGTCACAGCCGGTAATCCCGCGCATTTGGGAGTCTGAGGTGAGCCCGCAGATTCGCGACGCACCTGGGGAACTTGGCGAGACCTCATCTCTACAATAAACCCAAAATTAGCAGAGCGTGGTACTGCTCGCCTTTAATTTTAGCTACTTGGAAGGCTGACAGGGATGTATCGCCGGAGCACAACAGGTCAAAGGTGGGGTGGCCGGAAGCGGCCACTGCACTCCAGTCTGGGCGACAGAGTGAAACTACAACTCAAAAAAAGAAAAAAAGAATTTTCAGGGTACATACCACTCTCCTCCGCACTGGGTGGCATCTGCAATAATGTAAAAGAGGAGAGTGTAAAGAGTAGATTAAACTGTGAAATGCACAAGTATCTTTCATTGATGTTTCAAAAACCATTGGTTGAGTCCAAGTTAAAAGTCCTCAGCCGGGCTCGGTGGCTCAGCCTGTAATCCCGCGCCTTTGGAAGGTTGAGGTGAGTGGATTGCCTGAGCCCGCGGGTTCGAGACCCGCCTGAGCAGCGAGATCTCATCTCTAAAATAAATCAAAAAATCAGCTGGGTGTGGTAGCGCATGCCTGTAATTCCGGCTACTCAGAAGGCTGTGGCGGAATGATCGCCGGAGCCCAGCAGGTCGAGGCTGTGGTGGCCCGAAGCGGCCACTGCACTCCAGTCTGGGCGACAGAGTGAGACTCCAACTCAAATAAATAAATAAATAAATAAATAAATAAATAAATAAATAAATAAATAAATAAATAAATAAATAAAATAAATAAAAGTCCTTAAAACTAGGAAGAGATAAAACTCGTGAAAAAAGATAGACATTTTCTACACAATTTCCCTTTACCAGCGATTTAAATGAAAAATTCACAATTCCTAATTCATGGATAAAAATAGATGCTAAAGGAAATGCCTGCACATTAAAAAGTATGGTGAATGCTATCATTTAAAAATGTCTAACTGTGTCAAGTATGAGTTAGTAAGAAAAGGCCACTAGTACAACAGCACTAAGAGAATTCTATGTGTCATACCTAATGTACATTTTTGGACTTTTGTATCTAAACTTTTTGACAAGGGCCAAATTCAGAAAAATTACCATATTCCTCGTGAAAATGTAAAGTGGACTTACCTGGGGAGTACGCGATTCTGATTCACAGGAGGTTTTCTCCACATTCTCCTCGACAACTAGAAAAATT